AACGAACATTCATCGCTAAATTGCTGAGAAACTTTGAGGAAATGTCGAACAATTTCCTCAAAGTTTCTCAGATTTATATAGATCACTAGAGTCCCCTAGGCACTGATTCTGGTTCAGTACCTAGGAGGCTCTAGTTCTCTAACGAACTGATAAAATGTTTTTAAATTTTTGGATATTGCTACCTGTGAAGCACTGACTTCAAGTCAGTACCTCACAGGTAGCAATTACATTGAAAGATGGGAGAAACTTTGTCCGAATGTTAAACTATTCGGACAAACTTTCTCCCATTTGTAGTGGAGATGGAAGGCTTTGAGGTATATTATATTAATGTATACCCCAAAGCCTTCCATCTCCACTTGAAAGTTCCAAAACTTTGGGTTAATAGTTTGCAATTAACCCAAAGTTTTGGAACTTTCTAGAAGGAATTGCAGGGTAGGAGGTACATATTCATACTATGTACCTCTTACCCTCCAATTCCTTCCTTAACATAAACAAATTTGGAGTTAATTGTTTGCAATTAACTCCGGGTTTGTTGACCTCCAAATGAAAATGAAAGGGTAAGAGGTATATAGTGACCCTATATGCCTCTTACCCTTTCATTCTCATTAATTATGGGAGAAGCTTTGGCCGAATGTTAAATTATTCGACCAAAGTTTCTCCCATTTTTTGAAGGGATTGGAGGCTATGAGATACTGATGCAATGTCAGTACCTCATGGCCTCCAATTCCATCCTGAAACTGATCAAAGTGGACCTTACATGCATTTGAAATTTGCCATGTAAAGTCACTTTTTGAGAGAGAGGATTTGACTGCGTCAAATCATCTTTTTCGTTTACGAGAGTATTCTAACTTCATTTGGAATATTCTCTGGGTTTGGTTGTCCAGGTTGCTGTGCATTCGCTAAGTTCTGTGCGTCCATTTAATATTAGATAAAAATATCTCTTACGAGTACATATGCTGAACATTTGCAGGCATTGGTTCATCTTCATATTCTCTGTACTTTTCTGCCACGTCAAATAAATAAATGACACAATGGAAAAAACCTAAAACAAGTAGTCCTATTTCAAACCACATTTACTTACTAATAAAATTTCTTTGTTATGACACTTTCTCCAGTTTATAGGACCTCTCTCATATTCTATCTTGTCATATATAAACTCATAGTCATGTATGTCCTCTAACCATCTCATAACGGTTTCCAAACCACTTTTATCGGATGTAAAGTAAAAGCATGGATGGTTATGTATAACGTCTAAAGTTTCTAAAGAGTCTCTCAAAGTCCAGTCTACTTGGTATTGAAAATCCCATGTGTTATAGAACGGCGGGTCCACTATAAAGAAAACATTTTCCTTGTCTTTATATTTTTCATACAACTCTGTCCAATGACATCTCACAAACTCTATACCCTCAATATATTTTTCTATGTCCTCTTTGAAAACATTTGTATAGTTAAGATATAAAACTTTTGACATAAGTGTTTCAATGTCATGAACTCTTATAGCACCACTATATAATAGTCTAGCAGATATACTATCCCAGTCTATATATTCTGCTTTTTTCAAAACCTCTCTCACAATATTTTTCTTATCTAATGGTATACGTTCCATCTTACCTATAGGTATCTTTTCTTTTAACTCTTTCAATATATTGTTTGTGTCTGGAATATGTTTGAGACGGTACATATAGTTGTCGAAGTCATTGCATATAATCTTTGAGTCTGGGAATATTGTATGGCACAAATGGGATATATAGAAACTTCCACCGAACAAATCTACAAATGTTAGACCATTCGGTAGTTTCTTAAGTTCTCTCAATATAATATCTTTACATCTACTCTTATTTCCAAAGAACGGTAACAGCGGTTTTGTAAAATTCATTTATATATAATAATAAAAATGTTTTACCCGAAAAGTGACAGAAAAGTGACAAAATATGAAAACATATATAATTTGTGAAAAGTGACACAAAAGTGACATATTAAAAGTGATATAAAAATGACACCATTAATATGATGTAAATAACAACGGTTTTGGTTTTGTCACCGGCTGGTCGGCTGGGGTTCGGTCCTCCTCTTGGGTCTTGGGCAAAATTTCTTAGGGGCTAGAGGGCGCAACGCGCCTGGAAGCCCCACTCACCTGACCTTATTTCAATAAAAAATGAACATCGGATGGGCCAATTTTGAAAATCTTGATCAGCGGGCTCTCAGTGAAAACTCCAATGTTTAAGGTTTTGATCAAATCTCTTCTTTTTGATATCTGAAACGACAGATAGGTAGATAATGATATGGTCATGTTATAGCCATGCTTATGCAGAATGATATCTATTCTATCAAGAGAAAAAAGACCTCGAAGTGCAGAAAATTGAATAGTTGTAAACTAAAGCGGTGATTATTCAAATCCACCATTAAAAAATTGATTATTCAATTTTATTATAAATATATATCGAACACAATTTGAATATCATATTTCATTGTGAGATTGTCGATTATGTTGAAGAAAGTCACTCAATAAATTCGATTTTTTTACCAAAATTCAATTTAATCGTCATCTCTTAGAGTGAAGCTCCTCATTGGAGCTATAGGACCCCAACGTGGCAATATATTTCACCTCCATCGTGCTATGTATACATCACAATGAATGTTGAGTTATATATATATAACACTGCAAGGACATACATGTCATAGAAATGAATCCCTGTGAATAAGGGATCCTTTGCTTTTATATGTATGTTTATTAACAACATTCATATCTAGATACTCGCAACTAACATAACCTTATGTCATTTAAATACTATGAGATAATAACAAAAGCGTATAAATGATAGGTTTTTATATCAGGCAAATACATATATAAATTTCTAAAGGTGCCATTTTTTTGATGAGATAATTATTTTTGAATTGGAACTGAAGTATTTCTGGTGATTTCAACGAAATCGAAAGATTTATCGAGGAACTTCAAGCATTCTACTCTTGCTTTGCTGTTGAAGGCTTTTCCTGACAGCCCAATTGTATTTGAAGGTGGTGCTTTATATTATAATAGATAGGGCGATTCCCGAAAGCGTCATACGCTACGTAGTTCATGATGAAGTCTTCACAATTGTTTTTCTCAGCCGAATAGTCTATTACGCTTTATATTTATATGAATGATAGATTTCAAACAAATCTACGTTTATAAAGGAAAGTCCAGTAAGAACAATGTTGAAATCACGGCCTCTCTTCCAGCTATACTTTCCTTTTCTCCAAAGAGTTGCGTAATTTCCGAAAACTGACAATGGAAAGCCTCTACGTTTAAATTCTTCAAAAGCAGTGTCTAAAGCTGTAAAATTAACGAAAATATCATCATCAATATTGCATATGGTCTGAGTCTCGAGGTTTTGGGGTATTAAAAATCGAGCAACAAGTTCTCCTCATTTCAGTATCAATTATTTCAATAGGAAACTGTAGAGTTTGAAATGTTATATGCAGTTAAATTAGGAGCCGGTATTGAATGCTTGAAATCGTTCCAATATATGTAAATTTTTTCGCAATGCTTAGATTCTTGCTTTAAAAGTGAGTTTAATATTTTAGATAGAATTGGAATTCGACGGAAACTACTTAGGTATATGATTGAGTATTTGTCTTTACTTAATTCTCGATCAGGTTTAAGATTTGATAATCCAGGGCCAATAACTTGTGAATATCCGCTTGTTTCAATTATTGAAGTACCAAAAATG